CTGAAGGTCAATCCGTGCATTGAACTTAAGTAGCAATACAACATGTGCTATTGTAACATGGTGATAGTACACAAATTCTAACTTAGACAATCATCACAATTTTTACAATCGTCACAACTGGCAGAATCTTTGCAATCTTTACAATCGACGCAACTTTTGCAACCATTACACTCAAAACTTTTTTTGCAATCTACACAGTCTAAACAGTGTACACACCTAGCTTTGGCAAAAGTTACGTGCAAAACATCCTTGGCATTGGATGCAACTTTTAGAGAGATAATTTTTAGGTTTAGGTTTGTGTCTTTGTTTTCTTCCTGGCATTTTCGGTTTTGCGAGTTTGATATAGTGTGAGATTTTTTTCAATTTTTAAACCCACCAAAATCAAAGTATATAATTTGGAATAAATATCTGATGCGGGCGATAGCGCTTAGGAACGTGCTTCGTTTCCCGCACCAAGCAGATGCGATGCCGCCAGCGTCGCGCGTCTTTTTTCGCTTGGAGTTTGAGGTCGTCTTCCACGGCTGTGGATTGAGTGCATAACCAGGTGGCGTGGGCTGCGACTAATGTTGCCTTAATTGGGTGGCAGGGGCATGGTTTTGGGATTTGGGGGATTTGGGGATATTAAAATTTGTTGGAGAGGGAGAAATTTTTCAATATTTGAGGTTGTCTCAGCTCTCTCATTTCTCTAGTACTGTACATTTTCTTTTTTTAGTTTTTCGATTTGAAAAGGAAAAACCAAATAGGGCCTTTAAAAAAGTCGTGTTTTTCATTTAAAAATGGAGAATCGAAAAAAAAAAGTTTTGTGTCTTTCCACTTGAAAATAGGAAATAAAAAACACGAAACTACACAGAGAAAAACCCCGAAAAAACAACAATCCTTTTGTTTTTCGTTTTTCAATCAATTTGAAAACGAATAGCTAATAATAAACCGTCACTTTATAATGTGAGAAACGTCTTCACCATAGCTAAATTAGATGAATTAAGGAGGTCTGACAAATAGAGGATTATGAGGAATTCGTTACTTCCAAAAACGAACAATTTAACACCAACTTTCATCTTCAGAAGTGTTCACTGGCAGAGATAGGACAGTTTGACGAGGACGATGGAGAGCGGGATAGTCGTTGTACTTTGACCACCGCCCTGATCGACATGATATTCCTAGGTTTATAGGCGTAATTTTTCACCTGTACTAATTGGATTAGAGAGGAATAGGGATGATTTAAGCATTTCCCCGCTTGACACCTGCGCACGTTAATTCTGAGCGAATGTACGTGTACACGTGTATAAGCAACCCACAATGGCTTACAAGATTGTAGCTGTGACGTATTTCCTGCACGGAATTTGGGAAAGACATTTCTCCTTGCCAGTGCCCTCTTAGGGCCACCGTAAGTTGCCTCTTTAAAAACGTGTCATGTAAACGACATCACTGGCTTTGTAGGGGGGGAGTGGCCCTCCCACTTCGGGGGGGGGGATGCCCTCCACTTTTTTGCAGTGCCGGTAATGGAGTGGGGCTTCATGGATTGGCCTATAAATTGCAAATTTGCGATGGTTTAACAACTGCCCCCCCCCCACTGAAAATTGTTCCGTCACCAATGAAAGAAATGGGAATTTTAATAAATTTTAACTAAAATTAGGCATACGTTTTTCACGAGGAACAAAAAGACTTCTTTATCTCTTTTCTCGTTTTGGTGGTATAAAACTGAAAAAATGAGAAACGGCTCTATATATATCTGTTTTAAAATCAACTTAAAACGATTTGTCTTTGATTTTGGTTTTTAATTAATCAACAAACGAATCAAGTGACGAAACATACGACAAACGAAACTAAATTTAAAAAAACAGAAGTGTCTAATTCTTGTTTTTCAATTTTCCTGAATTGTGGATAGTTAATTGAATAGCTCCGATTGAACTATCACTCGGTATTTTAGGACGAAATCAAAGAGCATTTCTATGGTCAGTGGGAGGGTTTTAAAAAAGCATTTCGGTGCTGAAAGTTGCTTTTTTAAGAGAACGTTCTGCGATCCTGCATGCGCATATCGTTGTGATGTTCAGTGCGCGCGTGCGCTCATGTGCCTTCGTCGCATCGACGTACGCCGCAGTCTGAGACCTTAATCATTTACTCTTAATAGCTGCATTATAGATGCAGGAGCACCAGACTTTAATCCAATAATCACAGAAATTAGTGGAAATGGCGGAGGAAAGTGACGTTGTGGTGTGGGAATGGTTCACAGATCACGGGCGATGGAGACCTTATCAACCCAACATCGCCCGTGGAATCGAGGAGAACTACGGCCGGACCCTTATGCTTCGTCTGGGTGATATAGATCCGTCCATGGCCGTGTACGAGATCGATTTCAATACCCGTCAACAAAAGAGATTGAACACAGGTGAGTGGACAGCTGTGTTTTTGTTTACATTTAATTCCCCATGCACCATCACATGCATGCACATTATTTAGAGCGACAGTCAGTCATTATGGGGTGTATTTTGCCAGCTAAAGTGGTTCCATTAACGAGGGTACGACTACACATTCGAGAGGTCAAAAAGTGTCAATCATAATTTCAATAAAAGAAACGCTCATCACTTTAATGTGTTTAAACCAAGATCTTAATGACATTTATTGGCAGGAATTACTTATGCCAGATATGTTGAAGAGGCCTCTGACCATAACATGTATTAGAACTTCTTAAATTGTGTACTAGTATTGTGTATTAGTGTGAGCTCCGAAGTCGCATTAATTTAAGTCAAATCACCTTGGTAACAGAAGGAATCTTTGGCCACTTTCCAGTACTCAACTTCATCTCTGTCTCAGGTTCCGTGTAGGAAATCAAATCTCTGATTGTGGGCCTGAAGCGTTTAATTTAATAAATTAAAGTACTGTAATGTTTGGCTCTTTTGCGTCTTACTTGAACCATGGTGGCTTTATCAGACTTACTATTGCGCTTACAACCTCAAAGTCAGGAAGTAAAAAACAGTTGAAGCCTGAGACATGAGACCAAGTCGAGTTTTGGAAAATGGCCCAGAACTCAATCAGAGAAAAAAAAAACACTTGTATAAAAATACCTTCAGAATCCTACAGTTCATAATGAATAAGCCTACATGTTTAAAAACAAGTTTACATGTAATATAAAGAATGGCAAAGAATGATTACTCAGGTGAACAGTTTAATAAGAGAAGTACATGTACAATGTTAAAGATACATGTACACTTCGTGTACTTAATTCGTTGCTTAGTAAAACAAACATTGAACAAAATCCGTCCTATTATACGCAAAGGGATGCTAAAATTGATTCTGACATTGATATTGCTAATGCTTTCAATGATTATTTCATTAACACTGGCAAGAAAATAGCAAGTGAACTTCCTCAATCAAGCAGTTCATTTGAACACTTTCTTGATGAAAGATGTGCACATTCTTTATTTTTCGCTCCTGTTACCGAAGCAGATGTAGCACTTATTATTTCAAAACTGCCCAATGGAAAAGCCCCAGGTTATGATGGCTTAAGTACCTGTGTTGTTAAGGAAGCTGGTTATAAGCTGTATGTATGAGCCTATATGCGCAATACCGACCTATATCTGCATGTACATGTACAGTACATGTATGCTGGACAAAAGGGAAAACCTCCTGTCAGTTTCAGTGACAGGCAATTACATTATCACGTACATGTACATGTTATTATATACGTGTAATAATTCACTTTTTACTACAAGAGAAAAATGAGTACTTTTTACCTAATGAGTTCAATTTGCATGGTTGGGATGACGTTACTGAGTGTTGGTTCTTCTCTGTGATTGGTCAGTTGGTGGCTGTTTGATATTTCACACTTGGGACTGACTAGATATTGCTGTGGTCTATGGGGAGAGTCTGAAGTACATGTACATATGTTGACTAAATTCTTAACCTTTCTGTCAAATATGCCTGAAATTTTGCTGTCTATGCACAATGAATATCTCCCACACTGTACCAAAAAGGTTTCAGTTATTTTTGTCATGTTGCAGCAAAAAAGGAGGAAACCGTGCAAATCCCTGTGCAGAATGAATGAAGAGTTATACATGATGAATTATATACAGACAATCATGGAAATTGTTCCTTGAAGTGGTCTGTCAGCAATCGGAATGCGATATCTTGTCCTAAAAAGTCAAATTTATCCTGGAAATGTTGAAGCATAATTTAGTTAGAAAACACTTGTGACTTTTTTGGACCAGTCTCATTGGGTTTATGCACAGGGCATGCATGGTGTCAAGTGATGTCCGTGGATTGTACTCTTTCCTTGAATTGCCTTTTGTAGTATTTGTAACCAAACCTACATAAAAAAAAATGTCATCCATCTTTATTCCTTCGCTGAAAATTTGAAGGAAAAAATAGAATTGTTAAGACATTAAGCCCTTTACATACGTGTACATGTATATGTATGTATGTGATCTGTCATGACAAAATTAGCATAAAGTGGCATTCCACGCTTTCTTATTTTGAGGGTTCAAAGTCAAATATTGAAATGGAAGTTAGTTTTAGGGTGTCGAATTTGGAAAGAGTAATCTGTCTTTAGTTCCAAATTTTCTCAGGATGAGATATTTCAAAATGTCATTTATTTTGGCAATTTTGATGACAGCATTATTTGTGCCCAGTCAGAAATGTTGAAACAGTGTCGCAAGCAAAGATGCAAAGCTGCCACAATAATGTCACATTGTCACCTTAGGTATACTTTTACCCCCACTGTTCCATGTACATGTACATACATGTACCATAGGAAAACTCTCATTCCGTTGAATTCACAAATACTGAAATCTCAATTGTTGAAAATTCTGACTTCAGCTCACTTTGTGGTGACAGGTCACGTATGTTTGACTCTATTGTCCTGAGTAAGAGTCCTGGCTATGTGTACATGCATGCAGCTGACATCATTGTAGAAGAACTAACATTTCAAGTGGCAATCATTTGGTTCTCTTGACACACTTACAGTACAAGGTAGTGAAATACCTTTGCATCAGGCCAAGTTGAAATGGCCGCGTTTCGAAACAGCTGTTTTCTCTCGATGACTTTCCTGGAAAACTCCACAGATACATGTACTTCCATGTTACTCCATTTAACAGGCTGAAAACTTGTATCATACGGTACATGTACATGTAAGACACAAAATACATTGCAGTAGTCCCAAATACATGTACATGTACCGGTATATTCCATCTTGAAACTTTCAGTACACGCCACATGATATACATGTGTAGGGTAGGCTGGGAAACATGCATTAAGAACTGTTTCTTGTTTTTACATACATGTAGTTACATGTTTACATGTTTACATGTACATCCTAATATCAGAGCAATACAGGTATTGTCACATGTTACAAATGCGTTCAAATACCCACAACGTTAATTTATTAATTAAGTGGCCATTATCCTGTAACAATTGTGGCCAAAAAATTTTGAGGGAGAAAAAAAATCTCCTGCGCCCAGCCCCACTTTTTTTTTTTTAGGAAACACAGCTATTTTGTTACACGGCCCCAAATTTTATCACAGTGAGTGTTCCACTTTAAACAAATGTTGAATTGTTTTCAATAAAACACATGTACAGTAGCTCTGTCTGTCTGTTGAGAAAACGAGTAAATTACCGTTTTTCTCTGAGCATGAAAATGTTCCCTGTTTTTTTTGTGTACCGTCATGATTCTCATGAACCTTCTTTTCCCCATCCTAATGCGGCCAATTGGTAATCCACGTCTCGTTGGCGCATTTCCGGTCGTGAGACTTCCCTGAGGGGAAATTTGTGAGTCCGTAAGATCCCCAGCAGAGCAGTGTCCCTACGTCATCATGAGCCATTTACCAGGGTTGACGACTCTGGATGTAAAATTGCTCCTTTTTTTTGTGTACCTGTAAACCATGCTGGCATAGCAGGTGCATGTCTAGGCATATTACATGTAATGCTGTGCACGCAGGTGCTATGCCCGCCTTGGGGTGTCTGTTATTACACCATGTACATGTACATGCTTGATTTTTTTACTTTTGAAGCATAAATGTACATGTACATTGTAGCCAGTACATAACGTATTCTGCGAGGCACATACATGTGGGTGTATGTGTTGACATTTGTTCAGTGCACTGTTATTGTTAAATTAAGATATTGCAGCATGGTTGCAATGTCTGATGCAGTCGAGGATCAGTGACGTATCGCAGGAAATTTTTAAGGAGGGTAAGGGGGTGTCTAGAGAAGACACTGCAGTGGCAAAGCAATCAGATCAGGTTACAGGCAATTTCAAGATGCGGTGACTTTTCACTAGAGAATTCACTGAGACTGGGGAATTCACTGAGACTGGGGAATTCACTGAGACTGGGGAATTCACTGAGACTGGGGAATTCACTGAGACTGGGGAATTCACTGAGACTGGGGAATTCACTGAGACAGGGGAATTCACTGAGACAGGGGAATTCACTGAGACTGGGGAATTCACTGAGACAGGGGAATTCACTGAGAATGGGGAATTCACTGAGATGAGAGTCAGGGTAGAGGATGGAAGGAGAGAGCTCATATAATTGTAAATGTAGACTTTAATCAACGCTTGTGTTTGAGATGTTGCTGTTTGTAAGCAGGAAATTAGCCTTGAGTCAAGCAAATTCTTGTAATGTGGTTTTAGAAATATGAAAAAGAAACTACATGTAGTCCAAGTGGCAAAGACATGTACATGTGTAAGTGCCTTTTCTATCTCATGCAGAAGGCTTCCATTTTACTATTGGTTAGACTAAATGACATCACACGCCCTCAGGCCCAAGAAGGTACATGTACAGTACATAAATATGTACCTGTATACTTAGGAAGGTTGTTATTGTTGAGCTTTCATTGGATATATAGAATGCTTAAAGGGAATGTATGCATGTGGACAAGTTATTTTCCAATTTCCAGGTCATACATGTAAGCTTCTATTCTTGCACGTGAAGCTCTACATGCACCTCATGCACTGAGACCTTCAGTTGGGTCTCATCTGGCACAACCCTTCCCAGTCTAATCAGTGAATCATTAATGTGGCGTATGTTCTCGTCTAGTATTCTTTCACGACCCCATGTAATCGAGCCAAGTCTGTCTACTGAGATGTTTAAAATAAAATACAAGGAAACTAAGGAAAAACAGCCCGCGGAAGTCATCAGCCCGATGTTTTTAATCCAGAAATTGAAAATGAGGGAGGCAACCCGAAGCCGTGAAGGTGATGCATGTTTCCAATAGGGTTTTGTCTTTCAACTCTTGAACTCCATGGCATAATTTCAACATCAAATTCTGAAAATTCAAGGGGTCATGATATTGGCCGTACTATACACAGCAAGCAGCAGAGTGCTAGAGAATAAAGTCAAACAGATTTCTTTGAACTGTACGGTACCTCTAAAATTCCTGGTATTCAGGATTTGACAGGAAATAAAGGACAAAAGTAATTGAATAATTGACATTTCCATTGCGGAAATAATGGATAGACCTGTGGGTATTGCTGCTCACGGTGTTATCGTGCCCTCCGGTCCACAGTTCACCTGCAACTGATTGGTTTTTGTTTCAGAATCTTCTTTTTTCAACTTTTTTTTTTTCCAAGTCATGGAACTGCCTCCTCCATTGCCAAATGAAAAAAAAGAAGAAGTGATTTTTCCCCATTATTAGCGGAGCCAGTCCATAGGGGCGGCCTCAGACATTGTTAATTGAGCCAACTCGTGCCGTGGCTGGCTCATCGGACATTATGATGTACATGTACTGTATGCGTAAGCACATCGGAGGTGATGTGCGGTGAACTACATGTATAAAGCAAGAAAGGGGGTTGCATCGGGGCGTGTGTGTGTGTACGACTGTCTACAAGTACAACACTGTACATCGTTTTCTCAGACGCTATTGAAGCCACCTACTCAAGCTGTGAAGAATTTAAGGATGAGGGTAGGGTCTTTGGTGTTAAAACTTACATGTACATCATGTGGTGAAAGCTTATCAGTACATTTGGCATGATTAAATTGTGTTAACAAGAAGGCATGTACATTTGTTAGGTTTCATGGTCAAGGAGCTCAGTGTAGCATAGAGATGGAGGTACACTGTAGTGTCGCGGACAGGAGGCTGTGTTCGTCTTGACAAGAATGCCAAACTGCTTGGGGTGATGGGAGCAGATGTTATCTGATCCTTGGAGTGTGGAATCAGGGATGTGGGATGATGAATTTATCTTATCGTACATCTCCTTGAGATGTCATCTATTGATTGCATCATGGACACGCATGCACAGCTGTGTTTCCCTACTCAGTAGTGGGCAACAGGAGAATTTGGTTGAAGAGGAGTTCATTGACCTCTTTGAAAGTTGATGAACAGATCTCTGTTGCGATATGGATAGGCCTACTTCTAATCCAGAAGAAATGGCGTAGGACTTTACAAAAAAATCACTAACTGGCTTGGATGGAATTCTTAACCCATTTTCCCTGCTTATTAGAGCAAACTTCTTAACCACTGAACCACAGAGTCGGCTGGCTCAAATCCAATACAGCAGCGGGCATCGCAAGCAATCAATGATATTAAGAGCCTCTTTGTTTCTCTGGTCCTACTGGTGCCTCTGGCTTGCACCATTTGTTAGGTGGGTTCTGGAGTTAGTGAGCCAACTGGAGATTACTAATCCAAATTCAGATCTGTGCGAAAGAAACAGGCCCTAAAGTTTAAGGGTAACACCTGGTATCCGCCTCTAGCAAAAGCACCCCCATTGGTGGAAAAGAGTGGCATTGGTCATGTTTATTTTCTTGGTAATGATGCAACCGTAATGCGTGAAGTTCAGTTCCGACCAAAGGAGCGTCCGTTGCTAAGAAAATGGCGCCCTCTCTTGATTCAGCTGGGGCCCATAGAGTTAACATTTGCCCAATGCAACGTGTACCACATTCCTAAAGGTTGGAATCGAACCTATGTGGTTTGCTGTCACTTTTGAAAATGATTGTCAATTTATTCACACAGCCTCTGTAAAATTTATCTATTTTGACAGGGACGGTACGCTCAATAAGAAGACGTACCTTCCAAGCTACCTCTGCCCCAGGGAAGAACATTGAATGGCAATGGCAGGATGACTATAACTGGTGCCCTTATGACGTTGACACATCCTGTATCATTGAAGAAGCGTACCAGCATCCTTACGGTAGCATTGACTTGTCCACGACACCCAGCTGTCTGCCATATGAGCTGGACCTTGTGGCCATGACGCAGCAGCGCTCGGGGACTGGGTTTGTTCGCAATATACGACGGATGTGCCTGCCAGTGCCTGGGTACCCACGGATCACGCCTGCGCAGTGCAGCTCCAGCGCCAGCATGGAGTCTGTGGAGGAGGATTCGCATGATGGTGGTTCAGCCGCTCTGAGCAGGCCGACCAGTCTACAAGCGCCCCCACAGCCGTCGTCTCAGCCCACCGCCACGACAGCGGCGCCGGACGATTCAAACTCTTCCCAAGGGTCTGACTGTTCAACCTCTGCCTCATCTTCCTTGGGACGGGCCGGCAAGAAACACCCCGGTAAGCGAGCGGCCTCGCGGAAATCAGTGGCCGCTACCAGTGGAGTACGAGCTACTGTGGCGTGGACTTCACCACCGGACCCTAACGCAGCAGGGACTAGCTCAGGCAGTGGAGGGATCGGAACTAGGTCCTCCCTGCCGAGGTCTGTCAGCGTACCAGCTACCATGGCAGGGGTGAGTGGCTCTGCCAACGAGAGGCCCAGCGTGTCCAGCGGGGCTGTGATAAGCTCCAGCTCAACAACTTCGTGTTTAGCTGCTGCTGCTGCGGCAGGCAGAATGACAAGGTCAGTTCGAAAGAGTTGGCACTTTGTACGTAACTACTTCAGTTTTGTCTGAGTTATTGATTCTGTTCAGCCAAACGGAAGTGTGGCCTCATGAGCCGGTTTGACATTTCAAAAAGGCAAGCTCACTCAAGAACAAAGCATGCATGTGAATAAGTGTATGGCCATGCTGATAGCGCAGAGCTAGTGCGCACTTACTTTTGGTCCCAAATGGCCTTGGACACCCTTCATTTTGAGCATACACTGTAATACCGAGCTGGCTCTGAGACAGTGAAAATTACCACATACAGTACATGTATGCCCACTGTTTTACAAGGTCAGATGATAAACGTATATATGTGGCCAGTTTTCACCTGAGTGTGCACAAAGGTATGGCATATTTGCATGATATGATATACACATGGGTTCATTTTTATTGAGCTGGCCACACAGAGAATATCATTTTTGTCAATTATTTGTTGAGCAAAAATGAGCAGGGAACAAGTGTCAGTTGATGTACTTTTCACTGTGCATTGGTTGGTAACGTGTGTACTAAGCAGATAGCACGTACTGTACATGTACATGTATGTTCAGACTGACATGTACATGTAGCATTTTTTATTAGCTCTTAAAAGCTCTGTGGCATCAGTCCCTGATTGTATTTTGCTGATGCGTTCATACTTGTGATGAAAAACTGTTGCCCTCAAGACAATTCCGGTAGAATTTTTTTTTAATGCGGGAAAAGGGATATAACATTACCGGTAGAAATAAAAACAAGACATTGCTAAGAAGAAACGTTTTGTATAGCAATTTCAGTCCCAACCAGCCTTTTGGAAACGGAAGCCAAATGCTTTCCAAAAGGAAAAGAAAAATGGCATTTAACACCCACACATGTGCTGGTACACCCAATCTGACATGGTGAACTTGGAATCCAGCCTGCAGCAAACATTTTGTCTTTTCTTATACAATGTATATCTAGGTCTCAGTCGACACCCAACTCTATCATAGCGAGACCAGCGCACGCAGCAGGGGCTCGACTTAGCCCGGTCATGACAGGTAAGATAGCAACTCGCAGAAGATTGAAGCAGAGATTGTTGAAAATCTCAGGTCGGTTTTGTTAACAATACTCCTTGATGGGTTCGGGGATTATCCTGACCAGCCCCTGCTACTTTGGCAACTTTCAAGTCCTACAAACATTACTGGCGTTGGCCCATCCACAGAGTAACCACAAGCATCATTAACATTTGCAGATGAAAGAGAAGCCTGCCTTTTATGTGTCTTTTTCTTCTAAAAGAATGTGCCCTTCAACATCTATAGGTTTTCTGTTATTTGAGGAAGAAATCTCAGCTAATAATGATGAGGAACTTTGGTTGAGAAATTGAAGATTGCTGCTGTAAAATATCCCAACTTTGAATGAGATGAATTCTCTCATTTTTGAAAATCAGCCTTTGTTAACAAACACTGTTCATGGTGCCCAGGTGTATGTGGCCCAGTATATAGTAATTAGGAATAAGTCGCTGAGGCTATTTTACATAATGGCCGAGTAACATGAGTAAAGTGGGGATGTGGGTAAACTTTGAAAATATTGATGTGGCGCTTTCTGTATATTTTGAAGGTGTATGTATGAAAGGTTACCATCAACACACTTGTAATGTGTACCACTTGAAAGCTTATGAAATTCTCTTTCTGACCATGTAAATATCTCAAAAAGTCAATTTGCGATTTAGTCCTAGTTTCGATGTACCGGGTCACGTATGACTGTGCCATTGAAACTTTGCATTGTGAGTTGTACACAGTTAGTGAATTTGGAGTGAGATATATTTTTGCTGGTAGGGTTGAATAAACCGCCGTTCAGCAGTGTTTTAGATGGGCATGTCTGAAGTCTACAGTTGCATTGAGTGCATGGTATCTTGGCCTCTTGTCTGGAACCAGGGGCCAATTTCACAGAGCTGCTTAAGTGCAAAATTTGCTTAAGCGGAAAAAAACCCTGCTTAAAAAACAAAAGTTACCAGCTCAAAATCTATGTGATTGTCATGCTAACCAAAAGACAGGTGAATACCATTCCAAAACAATATACAATGTACATCACATGAAAATTTGGCTGGTAACCTGATTTGTCAAGCAAGGTTTTTTCACGCTTAAGCAAATTTTGAAATTGGCCCCAGAGCTCACTGAAATGATGTTAATGCTACAAAGCCCCTTTAACCTTTTGCTGGTAGTAAAAATACTCATTCAGCAAATGGAGGGCTGCTCAGTACATGTACTGGTCCTTGTATCGTTCTATTGAAGCCTGACTGTCTTTGTGTCCATACTGTACTGTACAGTGTACGTGTATATCCCTACACTTACATGTGCATGTACATTGTAATTCACATGAGTCATATTCAACCATCATGATAAATTTTAAATTTAATTCAACCAAATTGTAGAGAGCCGCCTTGGAAGTTTTTTGCTGGTACATGTATATTTGTTAGATTTTCTGGTTGTTTTTATGATACAAGTACTTGGACATGTATGAAGAGATTAATCAATCTTTACTTAACATGCTTAATGACCTGCATGTGACTTCATGCCTGCTACCGGTACATGTACATGTTCAAGAATAAAATGCAAATATGCCTCAGAAAATTTTTGGCAATCTTGCAGGACCTTTTTGAAATGAAATGTACATTAAATGGCTGACTGCAAGTATTGTAAACTGCAAAAAAAGTGTGTAAAATGTTGATAGAATCTGTCAGTACCGGTATGCATTCAAGGAAAACAAATATCAGGAGTCATGATTTACTCTCTGGAGAGCGTTGAAGCACAGAAAAAATACTGAAAATGTCTTAGTGGTAAGTCAGTGTACATGACGCAACTTTCAACTTTTATAAGTGAAGTTAAGGTATGTGCATTCTATCGGATACGTACATGTACAGTGTGGGCGAAGTGGCGTGTGGGCGAAGTGGTGTGTGCACGAACAACACTTTCCCTTTCAAATCTACATGTATGCAGTGTTTGGATGGATTTTGTAGGATTGAGGAAGGTATGATAGAGTTTAGAATGAATAACTTGACTATGGGGTAGAATGTCCCTTGACAGCACTGAGTGATCTATGGGTTTCGTACACAGTGGAGAATTTCCCATTAACAAGTTCAGGTGATGTGTCAAAGGTAATTTAATTGTTGGCTTGTTCATTTCACATGGACAGAATATCACAATGATATCCTAGTCGCATAATCCTATATTCATCTCAATTCGTTAATCAGTCAATTGCTCTTTGAGTGACCATGGCAACTCAACATTAGCATTCATTTCACATCCAAAAACCGATTACTTTGCATTTGGTGGCTTTCTGTGACATTTGAAGAGGTCAGTGCAAAGTTGTTCACCGACTAAGGAAAAATTGCACTGCTTCAAATTAACAAGAGCTCGTGTGTGTGTTACAGTTGATTTATTTTCCCTTTTTAATGCAATCTGGCCTCCTTATGCACAAACAGTGCACGATATACTTCACACATTAACATCGTAATATTTGATAATTAAAGTTTAATTGTGCATCTATTTCATATTAACAATAGTTGATTTGTGTGGTTTAAATAATAAAATGGTCCCTTTGTTCCACATGGCTGCTAACTAATAAATTGTTATGACTGTGACCATCAACAAAATGCTGGTACTTTTGTATCATAAACTTGAATACCATGCTTCAGGGCATCTCAAAGTTGTCTTTGGGAGGAAAAGAACCAGTGGTCTTCTGAATTTGGTGTTTGGAGGCAGTTTTTGCAGTGCCCTAGAGAAAAAACAAAGAGAAACAAAAATGAAACTGATGTGACTGTTGAAGTAACTTTTGTCCTGACATCACAAGTCGGCCAGAGGCTGAGCAGTGGATAAATTCAGGCTGCATCCGAATCGGTTGTCTAGTGCTAGGTCTAGGTCTTTGTTCCATTGGAAATGTGTGGAGACGCGTAGACAATAAGACCTAGCCATAGCACAGGAAGCCCGTTTCGGACACGGCCTCAGGCTGCATCTGAATCGGTTGTCTAGTGCTAGGTCTAGGTCTTCGTTCCATTGGAAAAGTGTGGAGATGCATAGACAATAGACCTAGCCGTAGCTCTGGAAGCCCGTTTCAGACATGGCCTCAGTTTATGCACATACAGGTAAATCTACTTAAGAACACCGAGCGAAAAGCAGAACACCCCTATGATAAAAATGAACCATTCTGAGGCAACCTTTTCTGCTCTGGATCTGAGGCAAAACTCTGTATCCCCTGAATTCATTCATACATGTAGTACTTATGCCTTGGCTACGGCTTAAAATAATATGTATGTTCCGATGGAAGCCTCTGCATAATGGCTAGAGCCACTTCTGATCGAAATATGTACTATCGCTGGCTGTAGCCAAGTCAGATGCAACCTCTACTCTTTTCACTTGCCTTCAATGCTGGGCTTAATAGCGCCCTCTATGCCTCTGAACTATGTCCATTGAGAGGTATTACATGTAGGCTTTATACATCGCTCATGCTTCATGGATTTTGAAGTTGTATGCTGTGGATTTTGATTGGCTAACCAAAAGCAAACCCCGCCCTTCCTTCCCATGGTTCCTGTTTTCATACTCACGTTTTAATCTCCCACCACGCCCACCACTTCACACCTCACCCGCCCGCATCATCTGGTTTTTTTCTCTCTCTCTTTTTTTTTGTGGCCGCGCCCTTCTTGGCCATTCTGTTACCTCCCTTTTGCCCCTCGCCCTCCCCAACCAGCCATCACGGGCCTGTTGCTCTCCACTGCAGTGCCCGTCAAGCTCCACCCGACGCCCATCCCCATCTTCTCGCCCCCACCCATCTCCAAGGGGAGTATCCGGCCGGTGGAAGGCATTAAACCCAGCAAGAAGAAGCAGAAGACAACGTCGCTCATCAGAGGTACGGTCACATTGCTTGGCAGGCTCTGAATGTACATGTAACCTGTACCTCACAAGCTCTCCCTTACTGGCAAAGAAGACATAGACCAGTGTTAAAAACTTTAGTAATGGACAAAGTGCTGTCTGTGACCATTAATCAATGTCTGGCTGATTTTTCCTGGTATCCAAGATGTACATGTAATTTGTACATGGGCACCGGGGAAAATCAACCGATAATTAACAGATGATCCGAAATCATTTTCCCATTCTAGATCCAATCCCAAGCATAGACACGACCCTTCACCCGCTAAAAAACACAACACATAGAGTCACTTGAAAAAAAAACTTTCCATACATGTACCATTTTGTGTATGTCTTAACTTTCTGTGGAAGCAAATTACACAAAAACAGCATTTTGTGGTATCTTGGCATGTGTTCTGTTGCATATTATGAAATCTGCACCAGCACGGAGCTGTTTTAAAAGGTTCTTAAAAAGATATGTTGGGAGCGATGCAGTAAATGAGACTTAAACTGTTAAATAGTTTCCTGAAACAATCAAGTACAATGTGTTGTTGCTTATATTCCCATTCTTTCTTGAATGGATGTGTAGTGGATTTCACTGATCATTTTGTTCTCATTTCAATTTGATTGGAGCCTTTTAAAGTTGAAAACAGTGATGTGTCGAAAGGATTTTCAAATATGGGCAACTCTTGACGGCAAAGTCCATATGTTGAATGTGCATGTGCACTAACCTTGCATACCTAGTGTGGACTTGTGAACAAAAGATGTCCACACGATGCAGGAAAGGAAGACGTTCTGTGGACTTGCACACGTCCACAGGACGTTTCCCCTTCTCTGAAAAAGAAGTTTAGAGGCATTTTGGGGTAGGGATCATCTGTCATATTGGAAGAGGAATAGTCAAGGAAACCTTGTACAAAAAGCCAGCTGAAAATCGTGTTCCCAGTTCCAGAAAAATGAGTATTTTCACTGAGTTTTCTTAACTGCATGAAAAGGAACGTCCACACTAGGTACATGTATGTAAGGGAAATGTGGGTGTCTTGCATGCCGTGCACTCTTTTTGGTAAGCTTAAATATGGGTACTTGCCAAGAGCGACATTTAAACTAATTACCTTTGATTTGTGTGTGGTGCATCTAAACTCCATTTTTTTTCCAAATTTCGTATTGTGCTCGTACACAGTGGACTGCTGTGCACGTCTTACTTCAGCCAACTTGTGGACAGCTTCTTTTGTGTTTTCATCATCGCTAAAGGTTTATGTAAACTGTGAGAAATCTTAATGAAGTATTGTTGTCTGTATCATATTTTCAGTGGATTCTCCTGAAGATGTGATGAAAAAGTATGTCAACAAGGTCAAGAAGATACCGGACGAGGTACCAGTGAAAATCGGTTTCCATATCACTACAAGTACCCTCTTTCTTTTCTCCTGCCATAAATCAATTAGATGCGTATGGCTTCAGAATCAGTCGTATATCTACATTAAAATTGAGTTTAAAGTCTATCCTCATGAAAGAAAGCCAAATTCAAAATAAAATGCACCTTTAGAAAATCATTCCAGCCAATTTTTCTAGTTTATATTTTGCAACATTACCAATCCTGACATGAAGTCATCTTCTTTGCACCTGACCCTCACATTTCTCATTTCAAGTTCTCTCGGGATACATCTGTCCAGACATTTTTTGATTGTTGTCGAAAGTCGACCCTCCATCTTGAATTTCCTCCATCATGTTTTCCAGGAATGTCCAATTTGCTATGAGAAGCTCAGCGAAGGCTCCCATTACACTGAAGACACGGATGACGTCGTCTTGAAGTTGAGCAGATGTGGACATCTCTTCCATAGAGGTTGCCTTCACGCCATGTACAACAGTGGCCCCAAGGTGAGTCTCAAATTGAAAACTAAAACTGAGATTGAAGAAACTCTTGAGCGGTTCCCAAGGCCACATCTTGTTCCTACATGTATTAAACTTGTGTGCATGATTTACTACATCCAAACATGTATCACACTGCATTGTGGAACCAGTGGCCTAACCATCAGAAATGGGTAATGGGGGCATGTGTGCACCCCCCCTCAGCCCCACCCCTTCCTTCCGTACCCTCATTTGAAATTTTGAACTGTACACCACCTGCGTACGAGCCACAAAGACTATATCCTTGATTTGCTATGGTGCTAAATAAATTTTTGAACGAGCCTACATGTAATTCAGTATCCCGACAGCACATGCCCAGTATGAGGCTATTTGGGAACAGCCACAGTCTTTCCTGTCAACGTAGCCATACACTGACTCATGCGCTCTTTGTACGTGAAAGACCTTGGCTATTTGAAATACTGAACTGTCTCATTGATGGCGTACATGTACTTGTCCATATCCAGGATGGCAGCATACAGTGTCCAACCTGTAAGACCATCTACGGTGTCAAACACGGCAACCAACCGTCCGGTCGCATGGATTATCATATCATTCCTCCGTCGCTTCAAGGTTTCCCTGATTGTGGCACTATTCGCATCATCTATGACATACCGCCAGGAACTCAGGTAAGTACGACAAGAGAGGCATTGTAGGAAAGGACCCATAAATCTCAAGATCAAACAATATAGTAGCATTCTTTGTGCATTTTTATTTTTGAGAAAAACTCTTTTTACTAACTAAGTGTTGAAAGTCTTCACCCCTTTGTTTTCACCCAACAGTCTAATCTTTTGTCTATTTACGCCTGTGTTGATAAGCACACCCTTTTGTATTTTCACTGGTGTTCTGGCGGGTTCTTTCATTAATTTGACTGCTAGCTACGTACACTGGGTTTTGGTGGAGAAGGTTTCCTTGGTGACAGACCAATCAGTGCTTAATAAATAAACATGAAAAAAGTAAAATTCTACAAGATTTACGTGAAACCAATTTGTGATTAAAATCTCAAAAAGTTAGCGGCAGAGGCACAGATGGCCTTAGTCTCCTGACCAATAGCTGTCACCAACAAATTAAATGTCTACACAGAGTAATGTATGTTGACAAAAATATTCAATATATGAAATGTTTTGGTTATGAGTAAAGTGCTAGCCATGTACAAGCTTGCTGAATCAAAAGTTATTACCATAATGGTTTGTTAAGCCCAGTAAATGTTGACAAAAAGGTTTGCCAGTGTCATCCACAATGTTTCCACTCAGGTAATCACAGATTTTGAATGAAAGATCCTGTAACGTTTTGAAAAATTGAATGGATTAAAATTTAATCTGTGAAGCACAATTCTCAATTGTTTTCCGCCATGGCTGTAAAATACCGTAGGTTCCTGTTTTGAAAAATATTGTTTCTCATCTCAATAGTAAAAGATTATGGTTCACAAAAGAGATTTTTTTTTTCTGATACATCTTCTGAACACAATATTTTGTGACACAAATGAAATGAAAGCCGTATACAAGCATCATAATTATATATTAAATGCCTGCTAACAATAAGAAGCAAAACTTGCCACATCGTTAACATTTACCAAAGCCCAGATAATACTTAATCAATTTTTGCAAGCAATTTGGTCCTCAACTTATCTGTAGATAACAACTGGGCTACTCTTAAAGCCTGTTACATTGCTAGAAATTGTTTCTCTGATGGGCCTTTGAGCAAGATGCTCACAGGTTTAGGACTGACCGTTTATTGAGCAGTAAATAAGCAAATGTAAGTGTCATGATAAATCAATATCGAGATAAAAACATTTTGTTTATGAAATTTCACACTTGTTCAGCTTAAATCCATTAGATTACTTTAAAAATATCAAACCTTATTGAAAAATTTTCCAAATCTGTTCACACCCTAACATTTGATTACTCAGTACCATTCAACATTTTGGTAATAGGTTAGCCATACATGTATACTGTACAAGCATAATCATTCAAATGCTCCTTTAAGTTTATGCTATGGCACAATCTAATTATGTAATCAACCATTTGATTTGATTGTACTTGCACATACACTTAAAATTACTCTGGGTTTCCAAAAATCTGACATTAAATCTGTAAAACCCAGTTAATTCTTAAGCTGTCACCACCTCCAGGTCCTAGTAGGTACATGTACATCTGATGGTCAAGAGAGTGGTTTGTATTGGAATGTAGAGCATAAGATCTCAGGCTTTGGCGACAGTCATGACAATTTGCTGGGCTCAATAGACTTTCCAAAAGTCTGTGAAATGAATTGATATAAAATTTTCAAAAGTACGATTGAGAATGGTTGGTGGTGTCTTGGAGTTACATTGTAAGTTCAGTTTGTGGCAGGTGTTTCCTTATGAATTTCAAATGCACATTTTAGATCTGTTATTTGTTACCTGTGTGTATGTTACTTGTCGTTTGATGTTAATTCCCTCGAGTTAACAATTGAGATTGTCCGAGGGGCATTTTTTCATATCACTGTACAGGTAAGTGTTATCCTAACATACAAATGATGTATTTACATATTCTTTGTTGCTTCCAATTTGACAGAAAAATTTCAGTTTTCAAACACGATAGTAGACTGAAACCTCATCACTTCACACCAGATGTCCTGCAGATGTGAATGTCACTGCACTGACACTTAGTTAGGGATCCATTTTTTTCATTTCCCTGTTACATCTGACGTGATTTTGTAAGTTCAGAACACATTCTCTAATTTCCAAGAGTGATGAATTAATTAATGCAAATTACCTGCCGAACAAATACAGTAAAATAGTCTAAAATCAATTTCAGTGATATTTCCATGTCAAATTACACAGGTCAGGTGTAACGGGGACACGATAATGTCTCATTTTTGGACCCTGAGTTTGCAGAATGACCCATTTATGGCTTCCTCAATACGGGCGATTCACAATAGTGCACCTGGCTAATGCGCTGCAAACTCTTGGAGGCACACTGTTGTGAATCGCCCGTATTATGCATCTAATGTGTGTAGCCGCTTTTTGCACAGCAACATACACATTATGATTTACTGGCAGGAGTAATAGAGTACCGAAGTGAATACGTCATGCCCACAATTAGTGTGTAAAAGGTATTAGCGCAAGAACCAGCGCGTGAACCAACACGCGCGTACTCCATTCATTTGCACTGCACCTTTTGGTTCACAGTGACGTCACAGTTTGGTACTCTATACAAAAGGATTACGGTCTTATACCAATGGTAGCCATGTGCTGTACAGGCATTCTTCTGTTACCAATTCTTGGATGGTTTAAAAGACTTATAATTTTAACATTGGCTTTCCATTGTTTTTTATAATCATTTCATAAATAAAAACATTTAAACCAAATCAAAACAATTTTTTAAAATTCAGACTTTTTAACCATTTTGTGCCATTGCCCCCTTCCCCGCATCCCTAACCAAGTCCCAGATACATGTACATACAGTGTAATACATGAATGTCAAAGTTCAGAGTGGATGTCAAAGTTTAAGCAGTGTACATATACAGTACATTCATTCAATACAAGGCATACAGTACATGTAGGTGTATGGACAATGAGTCAGTGAATTTGCTCCTTGGTGTACTTATACATGTAGCAAGGAAAATAACAGGTAGATACATGCACATTGTATTTTTCCTCTCGCAGCTAGGCCATAGGCACACAGTTCCGTCTTTTTCTTCTTGTTTTTCCTTTGTTTTTGAACTGCGAGTCAGACTCGGTTTTCAGATACGACGATAAATATGCAGTTTGCTGGTACCACCAACCACCAGATTGCCTGCAGGTGTGGTTGCCATGGTAACTGGACAAAGATTACATTTCGTCTTTACACATTTCATGTTTTTACCCTCTGGATTCAATTGATAAATATCTCCTGTCTGCGACCTATTCATCAAGGAGTGTTCACCCGTAGCAACGTAGATGTTGCCATGAATGTCACAGCAAACTGTCCTAGGGTGACGTATTTCCTCGTAGAACAAATCTTCGCCGTTGTAATCTTTGCATATCAGTCTGCTCTCTGTGTTGTTAACATACACAAGCCGTTTGTTGCTGACTGCGAGCTGATCTCCAATCATTGGTGCTGGTAGTTTCCTGATAAGTGTCCCGTCTGAGTTGTGGAGGCTGATCTCTTCCCTGGCCTTGAAGCCCACAGCTATCAGATTGTCCTCATCCACTGCCAGGCAGGTTGGTTCAATGTACAAATCAGTTCCTGGCTGGAACTGATGGAGGAGTTGATATTCTCTGCTGAAGGTCTTGACTGCAGGACCATCTAGGACAATGAGGTGGTCTACACTGTTCACTGCAACCTTGTGGGGATGTTTTACATCAAAAAGTTTTCCTGGTAGTTTGTGTGAGACAAAGGGGACTTTAGGATTATTTGTAGGTACGTACGCCAGCAGGTGTTTGTGCATGTATCTACCATTTATTGTAACTATGTCATTGTCTGAGAAAGATGCGACAGAGTTGATTCTGGAATTGCCACAGTCCAGTTCTGTCGCTAGTATCCACGTGTCTTCAAGGACCAGTTGTCCAAGTGAGTTAGCATCCCCTTCATGAAAGTCAATGAAGTGTAACTTCTCGGGCAAATATATTGGCTCCTCTTTTAATATTCCTTGGAGATATTGAACGAGTTTTTGCTTGAGGTCTAAAATCTCTGCCTTAATTTCTTGAGCTAGGAGCTGGTTCATCTCATCCAGTGTCAGCTCTGCTACATTCAGCTGTGTATTGTTGGTGTCTTCAGCAGTCTGCAGTGTCTTGACTCTGTCTTGATAGATTTCCTTGGCCTCTTGCTTCAGTTTCTGCTCCATCTCCCTGATCCTAGCAACCTCCTTGTCAGCCTTTTGGGAGATCTTCTTGTTAGTGGCTTCAAACATGGTGTCTAGCTTCTTGTGAGCCTTGGATATGTTTTTCTTGGTTTTCTTCAGTTCTGTTTTTTTCTTCACTGCATCTGCCAACAGTCCTTCAATTTCTTGTTTGCATTTATCAAAAGACTCAGATATATCAACACAAGAATGCTTTTCATGTTTCAGAACAGAGCAAGTTGTGCAAATCAACTGCTGACATGTGTTGCAATAAATGTTCAGATTCTGATAAGGATGTTGTACACATTTTGGATCTTCTCTTAGTTTGCTCTTGTAGGCAATCTCTCCTGATTGAAGTAGAGCTATCATGTAGGTTTGGTGAGATTTTGTCCGTGCCAGGGATTCATGTACGTTTTGGCAGTCTTTGCACAGAAAATGAGCACAGTCCATGCAAAATGAAACTGCCTGAGATTTCCCCTCACAGCATTGACATTTGATCTCTGACCCTTGACCCTGTAAAAGCTGTTCCTGTATTGCAAACTCCTCCACTAGGGCACTCAGTGTGAAGTTGGTTGGCAGATCTTCTACTCCATTTCTTCCCAGTTCAGTGTCACGTCTGCACAAGGGACATTGGATTTTCACAGCAAGTGGATCTTGGCTCTCTCTCAAGTATTTGAGACATGTCAAGCAAAAACTGTGTATGCAGTTCAGAATTTTGGGATCAGTAAAGCGTTTGTAGCAGATTGAGCATTCTAGATGACGCTCGCCGATCTTCTCCAGAATCTCAGCTGTGCCACCAGTTGCCATGGTTCGGTTGGATGTGAAAAATGAAGGGTAAAAGGCGCTCACACCTGAGGAAGTTGATAAGAAATAAAATAGGGGAAAAAAAGATCTGTTGCTGGAATTTTCTTGTTTAATTATGCTGCCGGGCAAAATTTGAAGTTGCATGACGGATTCCCGTGGGATTTTCAAGATTTTCCATTTTCAAAATTCTTCAAAAATTCATAACTTCATTTATTGGATGTTTACATTCACATGAATGACTGTCTGGTGGCTACTCTAATCTGACAGACAACATCTATTGATACCCGAGTATTTCAGCCAGGCCTGCTGCCTTTTAAAGAAGCACATATTTTCTTTAGTTACTGAATCTGGCCCAGTGCGCTGCTTACGTCTTTTCAGATGTGGATCAGATTAGCATGGGGTGGTATTGTATCACTCATTGTTGGAGTGCTGAAGCACATTGTCTTTGTTTGTAATCCGCTCATGCTGAATGCCACAAACAGTGGTATAATGTTTCTAAACAATGACAGATTTCTTCCGCTATCGACAACTGAAAAAATGTTGGCAATTCCCTGCAGCCCAGTCTTTTGTTCCGAGTACGGTCTTTTATTACAAGGCCAAGCTCCTTTGCCCGATTTTGGTCACCCCAGCTTTGCGTATAAAGCCAACATCTCCGGTTCCGGGCACCCCATCAGGAAGTGGTTATAGGTGGAAAGAAACTTACCTTGTTGAAATTGTTTTAATCTCAAATTTATTTCAGCCCAGAAAAGTTTGGATACTGGTGCATGTACCTGTATATGTCAGTTGTTCTTCGTAATCTTGTCAAAATTTTTACCATAATTTTGGGAAATATGCAGTACTTGGCGGTGCCCTCTGGCACCGCCCACCGTGGCTAGAACACTATCACTGCAAATATTAATGTTTGAACAAGTTTTTGTGATGTATTTGGTACTCACTTAGATGGTGTGTGTGTGTACATGGACAGGTGCTGTTGGCTGTCTCTAGATAAAGTCCGCTGCCTTTATATAAAGTCACCACACCCACTCGGTTTAGGCAAGAACATTTGTTGTGGAGTAGCAATTAGCAAAGATGGCAGTACCATTCTTGTCGTTAGTATCAGTAGATGTCGTAGTCAGGTCACGTGATGTCATGCTGAGCCTTACAAGTTAATATTTGCCATATTGTACATAACACGTATGCATGTTTTGTGACATTGCCGTTGCACATTTGCGTAGCTGGTGTTGAAGAGCTCACAGTCAAAGTCCTGTTTACTTGTATCACCGAGATTTTTTTTCCCGAACAAGAGACAGTGGAGATATTTGGCGGCATTAACCATTAAACCAGTCCCACTTGACCAGTCCTCTGTTGTTTGTGTCATTTTTATCATTAGCTCAAGCGCTCTGCAAACAACAGTGGAACAGTCATGTGGTCTGATATGAAGACTGTCAACAATCTTTTGTCTTGCAAAACTCCATGGGCCAGAGGATATTCCTGAGTGCCTGGATAATGGACAGATGAGGTTGATCACGCATGGTCCTCAGAAATTTGGTTCAGGACTTAAATTAAGTTTTCAGTACTATTCAATCCTTTTGGCTGTCTGTTATAAGTATGTAAAAAATCATATCGGTATGTAAGCTGGAAAGTACATACAGGCTGTTGGAGTAAGCATGAAATTAATGTTAAAGACATCAGACTCTGCTGTCACATTTATAATGCTATAAATTTCACTCTTTTTTCCCAGTAGAATAGGGTCACATGATGCTTCAGGCTAGAATAATGAGGTGTTTTTTGCTGTTTCATTTGTCGCCCGATGCCTTAACGTTGGCCATACGTTTTCATTGCCATCAATATACATACTCAGGTGTATTTTCAACGATGAGGTTGGAGTGTCTGATCTCCCCATAAGCCACATATTGCAGATGTAGAGGTTTGTGCCAGCAAACACCCTTCCCCTCTCGAAAATAATTATTTGGAATCACTGTTTCACTCAGAAGTTGTACCTGTTGCAGAGGTGAAATGTTGGAAATCCCTCTTCATACAAAGGTTGCAGCCAAAATTACTGTAGGATTCTTTTGAACTTTATTTTTACACCTAGATTGGGTAACAGCACAATTGTGTGCGGAGTGTGACATAAAGAGAAACCTGGATCAGCAACAAAGTAGAACAAAAGGTTGAATTCGTGTACCCGGTATGTGCACAGGTACAGATGGCCTTAGTCTCCTGACCAATAGCTGTCACCAACAAATTAAATGTCTACACAGAGTAATGTATGTTGACGAAAATATTCAATATATGAAATGTTTTGGTTATGAGTAAAGTGCTAGCCATGTACAAGCTTGCTGAATCAAAAGTTATTACCATAATGGTTTGTTAAGCCCAGTAAATGTTGACAAAAAGGTGTGCCAGTGTCATCCACAATGTTTCCACTCAGGTAATCACAGATTTTGAATGAAAGATCCTATAACGTTTTGAAAAATTGAATGGATTAAAATTTAATCAGCGAAGCACAATTCCCAATTATTTCATCCCATGGCTGTAAAATAGGTTCTTGTATTGAAGAATATTGTTTCTCATCTCAAAAGTAAAAGCTTATGAATCACAAAAAAGATTTTTTTTCTGATAAGTCTTATGAACAGGGTATTTTATGACACAGTTTTCTGCTTCATATTCTGCACATGTACTTTATATAAATCTATGTTTAAAAAAATGAAATAAAGAGCTGTTAAAATTGTGTGGATACATTTTTTTTTAACTTGACACCTCTGGAAATAAAAAACCAGGTCTTTCCTGCAGAAAAAGTCTCCTGAACCAGGAAACATTTTAAAAATTAAGTACATGTATGCACAAATGAATGAGACTTTGGTTTGGTTTGTGTTTCGATGCTTCGAGTATCAGTTTTCAAACACGTCGATAGATTTGCAGTGAATGTTGTCCACCCACGACTAGATCGCCATCAGGTGTGAATGACATGCCATGTGGACACAGCGTACACTGTTTGACTACACATCCAGTGCGCATGCCCTCCAGAGTATATTGATGGATATTTCCGGAACCTGACATCTCAAGTATGGAGTAGTCACCTTCAGCAACAAAGATGTTGCCATGAATGTCACTGCATACTATTCTAGGGCTGTCCGTGTCCACTGTGAACATTGTGTTGCCAGGGTAATCAGTGGATATCAGTTTGCCCTCGTTGGTGTTGATGTACTGGAACCGTTTGTCGCAGGCTACCAGTTGATCTTCAATCATTGGTGCTGGTAGTCTCCTGATGAGGGTTCCATCTGGGTTGTGGAGGCTGATCTCTCCCTTGGCCTTGTAGCCCACAGCTATCAGATTGTCCTCATCCACTGCCAGGCAGGTTGGTTGGCTGTCTGAATCAATTCCTGGCTCGAACCAATGGAGGAGTTGATATTCTCTGCTGAAGGTCTTGACTGCAAGACCGTCTAGGACAATGAGATGGTCTAGTCTGTTGACTGCAACTTGGCATGGATCTTTGACATCTGGAATTTGTAGCATTTGGGAGATGAAAGGAGATAGGGGGTTGCTTGTTGATGAAAAGGTCACGAGACATTTGTGTTTGCTGTTCACTGTGACTATTTCTTCATTAGTGAAAACTGCAACAGAAGAAACATCAGTAGCCAAGTCCTGTTTTATGTCCGTTTGTAACCTCCATTTTCCCCCCAGAACAACTCTTCCCAGTGAGTTTTTATCTCCCTCATGGAAGTCAATGAATTGGAACTCGTCAGGTACAATCTCTGGCTCCTTCTCCATCAGATCTTTGAGGTTTTCGAGGATAATTTGCTTGAGATGTAAAACCTGATTCTCCATTTCTTGAGCCAGGATTTGGTGTATCTCATGCAGTGTCTTCTCTGCTACTTTGAGCTCTGTCTTGTTTGCATCTTCTGCAGTCTCAAAGGCCTTGACTCTGTCTTGGTAGATCTTCTTGGCCTCTTGCTTCAGTTTCTGCTCCATCTCTCTGATCCTAGCAACCTCCTTGTCAGCCTTTTGGGAGATCTTCTTGTTAGTGGCTTCAAACATGGTGTCCAGTTTCTTGCGAGACTGGACTGTGTTTTCCTTTGCTTCGGTCAGTTCTCTTCTCTTCTTTTCGGCTTTTGCCGCGAGGTCTACAACCTCGCGCTGGCAATTGTCAAAAGCCTCAGATACTTCGGTACTGAAGTGCTGTTGATGTTCAATAAAAGAGCAAGTTACGCATACCGATTTGTTACATGTGTAGCAGTAAACGCTAAGATTTTGACCTGCATGCTTCTCACATTTTGGTTCTTCTCTTAGTTTGCTCTTGTAGGCAATCTCTCCTGATTGAAGCTGAGCCAGTGTGTAGGTTTGATGAGATTTTGTTCCTGGCAGACGTTCATGTACCTTTAGGCAGTCTTTGCACAAAAAAATGGCACAGTCCACACAGAATAAAACTGCTTCATACCTCTCCTCACAGCTTTGACATTTGATCTCTGACCCTTGACCCTGTTGTAGCTGTTCCTGTATCGTAACCTCCTCCACCAGGGCGCTCAGGGTGATGTTAGTCGGCAGATCTTCGGCCCCATTCTTTCCCAGTTTTGTTTCTCGTCTGCAGAAAGGACATTTCATTTTTGCGGCCTGTGGATCCTGGCTGTCTATGAGACGTTTAAGACACTTCAAGCAGAAACTGTGAATGCAGTCCAGCATCTTTGGTTTGTCAAAGCGCTCTTGACAGATGTCACACTTTAAGTGATGCTCTTTGATCTTCACTGGCACCTCAGCTGTACCACTGGTTGCCATGGTTCAGTGAGATGTTGAGTCAGACCTGTGAAAGAAATCAAAATGTTGAATCATTTGTTACCGGTAGAAACAAAGGCAAATCCGTTCCACCAGGTACACAGACATGTACATTGTAAGCACACAGATGTGTTCACGTTGAAGTTTTAATCACAAACAATATGGTGGTCTAATTCAATATGGTTGTAAATTTGCTGTAGGAGCCAAAGAGTAGGCTCTCTAACATAGTAATTTTCATGTTCCTAAATCACTGTGCTTGTCAAGCTGCATGCAATAGTATTTGTTGTTTACATGTCAGCATTAATTTTTTGTAATCGACCCTCTGTAGTTCTATACAAAATACATGTACTGTACATGTATTTGTGCGTATACATGTACAGGGGAAGTCTGTGACCACAGGTTTCATTGACTGTGCCCCGGTAGGCCTCCTAAGCACCACCAGACCGCCCCAACCACTCCCCATCGTTTCAACTTTTCTAGTTCTCCCAGGGTGGGGAGAGTTTCTGGCTGTCCTGTTTGATCAGCCACTCCTGACGATGGACACTGAATTAAATTTTTGTTTTGCTCGTGTTTACTGTTTTGAAAAACTTACACACTTATGCAGCACAGTTAGTCTTTACCTTGATGGTGTTCCTCTTGGAATCAAGTAGATGAAATCTTTTGCTGTTTGCTCAAGTCACCGTAACCGCTAGACCAAACGTCTTTAAACAGCATGCAGAAGAACATTGATGTGGATACACCCCATTTTATTTGTAGACCTGGCAGTTGGGATCACATGATTTCATGCTGCGTCATTCGCCTTTCCAAGTCCACCAAAATTGTTGACATTGTTTGTTTCAATCGATCCCATACCCAGTTGGTTTATGCCCTACTTTTTGCCTTGGAACAGCATTTAAAACAGGATTACATGGACACTCCCCCTTCGACTTCATGTATATCTTTGGACTCCACATTGTTATAGGATCACATGATGTCAGTTACCGTGTCAGTCAAAGTACTTCGTATTTACAATACGTGTTCGTTGCTACTGTTTGCATACACATGCATATTCATGAAGTGGAAGCACTAGTAGCCACAAAGTTCAGTAAAGAAATGCAAATTGGTATGGGAATAAATATGTTCTTGGCTGGTCTTCAACGTGCCTTTAAGACCAGCTCAGGAGAATGGACACGGCATGTGGCTCAGGCGTTATCAGCGTTTGTTCTCCTGAGCAAGGTCTTAATTGCTATTTAAGATCAACCAGGCACATATTTTTTCCCATTGTAAAATACCTTTTTATTCAGGAAGTCAAAATAAGTCAATGTGTGAAGAATTTACAATGATTTTCTTTTTAAAAAATTGACGTTCATTTTCCCAAACACCCCTGTCCATTTTATGGTATATTCCTTTTGAAAGTTGTCCAATAGAATCCCCTTCATTGAGTTTGGCATGCACATGTTGCGTTGTATGCACACAGACTCCTGACCTATCAGACCTCATTAAACTGTCTCGTATCCAAGTGCCAGCATGTGATTTATGCAGTAGGCTTTATCACTTCTCAGCAGGCATTATCATATGTTAATACACAATCATGTGATGCATTTCGACCAATAGGAATAGAAAATCTGTCCTAGCCCAACTGAAATGTCATAACCCATTGGATCCAATTCACTTACCCATTGGATACAATTCACATACCAATTGGATCCAATTCACTCAATTCAATAACCAATTCCAAAACCAATTGCTTTTGTTTGGAATCAATTGGAATCCAATTGGGTTCATTTGGTTTGAATAGTAAATTTGAACCTTTTCTCAGTTGGACAATTCCAAACCAATTGACCCCCAGTTGAATGCCAATTCACAATCCAACTGTAACAATCGAAGAACCAATTGAAACCATTTCAATACCAATTCAAACCAATTGAGTGCCATTAGAATAATGGGGGAAACAAGCTGAAAGCAAACCAATTTGAACCATTTGATTCCCATTAGAAATTTCATTTGATTTAGGAAAAAAACAGCAAAGAAAAAAATACCAATTGAAACCAAGCGTGTTCCATTTGAAACCTCCAATGGACGGGGGAAAACAAATGGGAGAGAAAACACACCGACTGAAACCAATTGAGCACCAATTGATGGCCAATTGGACCCAATTGATTGCCAATTGAACCCAATTGATTGCCAATTGGACCCAATCGATTGCCAATTGGACCCAATTCATTCCAATTAAATCCAATTCAAAAATCAATTAGTTTGAATGGACCATTTTTAGTAGGGAGGTATTTAGGAATTTTGATTTCAGATTAATCATTGCGATCATTCATAATACATGTTCTAGTATGTGTCGTTCAAAATTGGTCCAGTGATGCATTGTACATGTACAGCCATTCTCCTGTTATTCTTTTTACTTCCATTTACCGGGACATAATACAGTTGCTGCATAAAATGACGAACGTTTTTACATCTACCGGTATTGTCTATTGTTTACAGGAAATCAGATATTCTGTGCACACGGATATATGTGACCCACTCTGTGAAAATGAGTCACAAGTCGCCAGATCCACTTTGGAGTAACAAGTCCTTTAGAATAATTTTGCACAGTGTAAATTCTCACCATGGGGTATCCACTTTGATCAGGATGCCAAACTTAGTGATACATCAAAACAAAAAGCTCTATTTGCTCTTTCCAATACAAATGAAAACTCCAAAAGTGGCTCTGGCGATTTAAGACTCATTTTCACAGAGTGGGTCACATATGTACATGTATGTGTATGTACAAAATTCAATGTAAAGTTGAACCTTATGTTCCTTTTTGTTTCATTTCTCATTGTTAGAAAAATGTCAAACCACCTGTACAGTTGGCCAAATTTTAATAAAAAAGCAAAACCATCTACTGTACAATATTGAGCAATTTAAGCATTTTTCAAAGGGGCCATCCAGTGATCCCAGTACTTTATACTGGCAGCTGACTGGTGTAAGTGGAAAGCCGCTACTTTATGAAGTCAGTGAATGACTGATATCACCCAACATTAGTCTGGCGGGCCACACACATGTACACAGATCTTTTTTTTTTAAATGTCTGACTCAGTTTTCAAATACGATGATAGATTTGTAGTGGACCTCTGCCACCAACCACCAAATCACCTGTGGGTGTGAATACCATGCCAACTGGACAAAGGGTACATTTCTTTTTCACACATTTCATGATTTTGTCCTCTGTATCGAACCTATAAATTGCCCCTGAACCTGACATTTCTGGTGGTGTGTATTTACCTTTAGCAACATAGATGTTTCCATAAATGTCACAGCAAACAGTCCTAGGAGTGTCTGTTTCCACACAGAGTACGGTTTCACCCTCGTAATCTTTTGATATAAGCTTGCTTTCAGTGTTGTTAATGTACATAAGCTGTTTGTTGCTGACCGTGAGTTGATCTTCAATCATTGGTGCTGATAGTTTCCTGATGAGGGTTCCATCTGGGTTACAGAGGCTGATCTGTTCCTCGTACTTATGGCCCACAGCTATCAGATTGTCCTCATCCACTGCCAGGCAGGTTGGCTTGCTCTCTGAATCAATTCCTGGCTGGAACTGATGGAGGAGCTGATATTCTCTGCTGAAGGTTTTGACTGCAAGACCGTCTAGGACAATGAGGTGGTCTAATCTGTTGACTGCAACTTGGCATGGGTCTGTGATATCTGGAATTTGTAGCATTTGGGAGATAAAAGGGGATTCAGGGTTGCTTGTTGGTGAGTAAATTACCAACCGTTTGGGAAAGTCAGGGTTGCGTTCAATGTCCACTGTAGCTATTTCGTTATTCGAGAAAACTGTAATAGAAGTAATTCCATGTTTCGTAGGCAATACCATTTCTCTGTCCAGTCTCCATTCATCTTTTAAAATTAGCCTTCCAAGAGACTTCTCAGTCTCACTGTACTCCTGGAAGTCGATAAAGTGCAACTTCTCTGGTACTCTTTGTGGCTGTTGTTCGGTCAGTTCTCTGAGGGAATGCATGAATTTCTGTTTCAGATGTAAAATTTCTGTCTTGATTTCTTCAGCCAGAAGCTTGTTCATTTCATCCAGTTCCTGCTTTGCCACTGTCAGCTCTGTATCGATGATGTCTTCAACAGTCTCCATTGTCTTGACTCTGTCTTGGTAGATCTCCTTGGTCTCTTGCTTCAGTTTCTGCTCCATCTCTCTGATGCTAGCAACCTCCTTAGCAACCTTCTTGTCTGCCTTTTGGGAGATCTTCTTATTAGTGGCTTCAAACATGGTGTCTAGTTTCTTGCGGGACTCGGCTGTGTCTTCCTTTGCTTTGTTCAGCTCTTTCTTCTTTTTTTCAGCCTTTGCCATCAGTCCTTCAATTTCTTGTTTGCATTTATCGAAAGCCTCAGTTATGTCAGCACAGGAATGCTTTTGATGTTTCAGAACAGAGCAGGTTGTGCAAATCAACTGCTGACATGTGTTGCAATAAATGTTCAGATTCTGATCAGGATGTTTGTTACATGTTGGTTCTTCTCTTAGTTTGCTCTTGTAGGCAATCTCTCCTGATTGAAGCTGAGCCATGGTGTAGGTTTTGTGAAATTTTGTTCCTGCAAGGCGTCCATGTACTTTCTGGCAGTCTTGGCAGAGAAACTGAGCACATTGTGTGCAGAATAAAGATGCTTGATTTTTCTCCTCACAGCTTTGACATTTGATCTCTGACCCTTGACCTTGTAGAAGCTGTTCCTGTATTGCAAACTCCTCCACCAGGGCACTCAGTGTGATGATAGTCGGCAGATCTTCAACCCCAGATCTTCCCAGTTCAGTGTAACGTCTGCACAGCGGGCATTTGATTTTCACTTGTCCCGTATCTTGGATATCTCTAAGATTTTTCAAACAATGCATGCAAAAACTATGAATACAGTTCAATAGTTTCGGTTCAGTGAATCGGTTGAAGCAGATGGAGCATTCTAGATGACGCTCACCAATCTTCCCAAGAACCTCAGCTGTACCACCAGTTGCCATCGTTCAGTTGAATGTTGAAGACAGTTGACTTTTCCCCTGCGGAATTAACCTGAAAAGAAATACTGGTAAAATAGTCAGGGTGTTTTGTTGGACAGAAGTTGCAGTGTATTCTTCTTTGACACCATTCTTTTCTGCACCTTTGTACTTTGTATGAAAAATCTTACACACTCCTACCCGGTTAAATGCACTGAAAAGGGCACACTTTTAAACATCCAAAATTATCCATGTTTTCCTGGACAACTGAGGGCACTGTTGCTGTGCAGTCATCTAGGGAAGACGTGGCTCAGTGCATAGGTGTTTCTGTTCAAATTGTGAACCCAGAATTTACTAACTGAAAATGTTTCTGAGAGAGAGATTGATGGGTTCTCATTGCTATGCACATAAACAGCAATAAATCAGCAAAGAAGAGAAAACTGAGTCCAGGAAAATCTACAAAAGTGCAGGTCTGTTTGCGAACAAGCCAATGTAACATTGAGGCTTCTTCCTGAGGTGACATCACAGTTTCGCTTTTGAATATGGAAATATCCCCATGCACAAACTTGCGTATCGGGCCCAATACGCAATTATTTCTGCCCCATACGCAAAAAATGGGACAATACCCATTTTTTCATCCCCGATACGCACAATATAATTATGATAGTATGGCTCAGAATTATCTTACATAATGCAGATTGCATGTCCGGAAAATCTAGACAAAAAAAGCAGTTAATAGTCCTGCATTTTTTCTTGTACATGTACATACTATAGGTAACCTACATAATAGATGTACATGCATTGTGCACCACGCGTTGGCGGCCACACAGCACACCGTACGTGTACGTGCACGTGTACATCGGCATGGAACGTGCCTCGTGGCTGCTGTCGCATGAAATGTGAACTTCCGTCATGGGCGCCGTATATGCCCCCGTGCGCATGTGGGTTTTCTGGGTGCCGTGTGCTCAATACGCTACTGGGGCTGAATTTACGAAGGTTGACATTTTATATTACACCATTCGCAGAACTTACAACATCGACCCCACGCACGTTTTTTTTTCATGGCGGCAGCCGTAACCCTGTGTAAGAGTATTAATGGCATCTACGATGGGGATGATATTTCCATTCCGTGGCTTTACAAAATGTTGGTAAATCACAATGGAAATCCCCCATAGTTTTGAAATATCCTGGGGAGAACCCTGACATCATTAGCCTAAAGATTAAAAATACTCTTTGAAATTGTGAAACCAAAGTTGAAAATAAGATTTACTGAGACATAAAGGCGAAGTTTGCGTATTTGTAATCAAACACATTGATTGCAGCTACCCTTTAAGCTGGGGAAAATTGCCTTTTAAACCCAGGTTCAAAAAATTGGTCTCTAAATACCCATTTCATTCTTAACTTTGATAAGCCAGATAAGCAGGCTGACATGTTTTGTAAGTTAGATAATACCGTATGTATCATGTTAGTGTTTATTATCGGCACCTAAGTCCATGCTATGAAGTTGGTACTCACTTGGACAATATTTGTCTTGAACTGGTAATGTTGGCTGTCTCTAGATGAAGTCTGCTGCTCTCAGATAAAGTCACCTCATAAAGTCACACCTACATACTGTAGTTTAGGTGAGAGCTTTTGCCGTCGAACAGTACCGTATTAGCAAATATGGCGGTGTGGATATCTTCCCAGTTCTTTTTTTTTCTAAGAATCCGTATAATGGGGTCACAGGATTCCAGAAGGCAGAAGAGTTAAGTTTTTTCCACTGCCTACTGAATGGCTCAACATTCTCAACATGTTTTCATTTTCACCAACTGTACGTAGCTGCATGTTTACGTGTATGCAAAGTAATGAGGTTGAAGACTTTGAAGTCGCAGAATCCTGAATGTTGCACTTGAAGATGTTGTCTTGTTTTAAGGCCCCCCTTTGATTATTTGGAACTGTCCTTAATCCATTCAATACATGTACCTGTTTAATCAAACATCAGAAGTGGGTACCATGTTTCTCCCTGCACGTACAGTACTTTGCTCCCTGCACGCACCAGTTTGACCTTGTGTGCAGAAAAAAAAGTTACAATCAAGTTCCAAGCCTGACCTGCCCACTTGGCAACTTTGTGTATTGCATAGAACACATTACGAGTTTGTTGTACAGAGAAACTTGTGTTAGCAACATAGTAAAATGAAGGATTGAAAGGTTCTGGAAGTTGCTGACACTACACCAAGTTATATGATAGCGTCAATTCTACTATTTGAATTGACACACATGTAGGAACTGACGTACCCTTACAGTTCTGGAGTAGAAACCTACACTGTTTACTCTCCATTGAAAGATTTTTCTCAGTGCCCATTTAAATCTTCAAGTTGGATCATTTTTTTCAAGTCAACACAAAAATGCTGGAGTTGCCACTTACTAGTAGCAGTTCTGATACAATTCTTTTATTGAATGAGCATGTGTTGGCATAGAATTTTGTAACTTGACGTAGATTTGAGTTTCTGTCTGATAATGTCATTTTTTAGCTGTCATTGAAGGCAGCTACCGGTACATATGTGCCATTGAGAAGAATCCTTTATGCTACATGTAGATAACCAAACACACGTTGTGTTTATATTGTGAATGTAGTGCACTTAGTAAATGTACTCACCAGGACAATGTTAGTCATATACAGATGATGTTAGCTGCTTAGCTGAAGATGTCTGCCTTCAGAGAAAGTCACTTCGCTCACTTTTGTTAAGGTTAGAACATTTGCCATAGAACAGCATTTGCAAATATGGCGATGTGTCTATTTCCAACTCTCTTTTATTCCCAGTAGAATGGGATCACACGATTCTAGAATGCCGAGGTACAGTTTGTACCTGTACTGTATTTGTTCAGTCTCTTTTGTCCCTGAATGCCGTAACATTTGTGATACATTTTCATTGTCAAGGATTTTACATTGTACATGTAGGTCTACTCATTTATGTGTTTTAAGTTCCCCAAAGCCTTGTACATGTACGTGCACGAACATGTAGCACCTTGTGTCACCAACCCCTCCCCCTCCGAAAAAAACAACTTATGGAATCACCCTTTCACTCAGAAGTTGTACCTGTTGCCATGGTGCTGTGCTGTTGCCATAGTGAAATGAATGCCTCTTCATACAAAGGTTACAGCCAATATTACTGTAGGATTCTTTTGACCTTTATTTTTACACCTAGACTGGGTAACAGCACAATTGCATGAGAAGTGTGACATACATGTAAAGAGAAACCTGGATCAGCAAC